ATAGAAGGAAAAGAAATAAAAAAGCCTCAAGAAACCAAAGATGCAAATTTCGAACAAAAGTTGAAAAACTGGGAAGACTGGGATGACGACAATGCAATTGCTAGAAATGTGATGAACCGAACAATGAATGACACTCAAGCTCTAAAATACTCGAGCGAAAGAAGTGCTAAACGATTATGGTATAGCATTAAGGAAGAAATGGCATCTAAAAATGAAGACTTGCAAATGAAGAATAGAATAGAATTATCTCAATTGAAGACGAAACAAGATGAAACAGTTGATGACTACTTGAATAGAGCAGTGATTGTAAAGAGCAGAAGCATTCAAGCAGGAGATGAAATAAAAGATAGAGAATTGATCTGTTTTGCTTTAGAAGGATTAAGAATAGAATTTGATTTTGACGTGAAAATTATCAAATCTGATAAGGAAAGGAATATGAACACAATAAGACAAATCTTGAAGGAAACTGAAGAAAAATTAAAATATAGGAAAGAAGAAAAACGGCAAATAGAAATTGCATCAAAAGCTAGAGAAGGCTGGACGGAAAGAATAAATCCTAATATTAAATGCTATAACTGTGGAAGGATGGGTCATATCTCTAAGGAATGTAGAAACAAGATAAAATGTTTTAATTGTGAAGGATTCGGGCATAAATCGACCATATGTAAAAGTATAGAAATGAATATCATGCAAAGTATAATTATAATGGGCCTAAGAGAGGAATAAACAAGCAAAATTATAGAGAAGCCACAAATCATGTGTAGAAACAAATGGAGCTAATTACGAAGAAGATCAAAAGGAAGACAAAATTAGATGGACTATTGATTCAGGAGCCTCCAGTCATATGGTTAGTAAAAAAGAACTATTTATAGAATATAAAGAGGAAGAAAGAATTATAGCGACAGCTGAAAAAGGTGCAATAATGAAATCTTCTGGAATTGGATCAATAAGAATGAAGTCGAATGTAAATGAAAGATTCATAAAAGTTGAAAATGTACCTAATTTAAGAGAAAATTTATTATCAGTTACAAAAATTATAGATCATGATTTTAATGTATTGTTTACAAAGAACAAAGCTGAAGTAATAGAAAAATGGTGAGATTTTATATGAAGCAAAAAGATTAGGAGATAAATTTGAAGTTGAAGGAATCCTAATTATGGAAATTGTAAGAAAAGCAGAAGTAGATGATATGCTATGGCATCAAAGACTTGCTCATGTTAATTTTCAGAAATTGAAAGAAATGTATGATAATTCAACGGTATTAGGATTGAAAAATTTACATAATATCAAAGGGAATTGTGAATCTTGTACATTAGGCAAAATACATAGAAAATCTTACAAAAGTATTCAATATAAACAATCTGAAAATATTTTAGATCTATGGCATACCGACATGGTTGGACCTTTGAATAATTATTTTGGATATAAGTATTTCATTACTATTGTTGATGATTATAGTAATTTTACTTTCGTTTTATACCAATTACAAACAAATCTCAAACTGCAGATTCCATAATAAATTTGATTATACAAGAAGAAAGACAGACTGGAAAGAAATCGAAGAGAATTCGAAATGATAATGGAGGAGAGTATGTTTCAAATTATTTGAAGCGATGGTTATCTAGTAAAGGTATCAACCAAGAATTCACCACAGCCTATACTCCTGAAAGTAATGGAAAAGCCGAAATATTTAATAGAACCATAGTTGAGTCAGCAAGAACCATGATAATTGATTCTAAATTACCTATAAAATTTTGGAGTGAAAGTGTTAAAGTACCTGTTCATATAAATAACAGAATTAAAACTAAAGAAATGAATACAACTCCTTTCGAGATATACAAGGGATGGAAACCAAACATTGTTTACTTAAAAAGGTTCGGAAGCGAGAAGCTTATGTTCATATAAGGAAAGAAAAGAGAAAGAAGATGGAACCAAAAGCTCATAAAAGGATTATGATGGGATACAGTATGATAAGAAAAGGTTAAAGAGTATATTTACCAGAAATAGATGAAATTCATGAAGTATCAGATGTAAAATTTAATGAATCTAAACTAGGATATTATTTAATGAATAATAGTGGAAGAAATCTCGATGAAAATGAACTTTTCCTTTTTAGTAGAGAAGACCCAAATTTGATTTCTCACGGGAATGAAGACTCTGGTGGTGATATTTATAATAGAGAAGACCAAGTAGAAAACTTTAACATCGATGATGAACATATTCCTCAAGATGATAATGATGTAGATTTGAATGAAATAGAAGAAATACCTCCTGATGAAATAATTACTCCACGTAGAAGAGGACCAGAACCAGGAATGACGAGAGAAATGAGAAAAGAACGAGATCTTCGTTTGAGAGAAACCGAGGAAGAAGAACTTATAAAAAGGGGAGTGAGGAGATCTGAAAGATTACGACTAATGAAGAATAAGGAAAATGTTTCTGATAGAACTTATGAAATTAAATGTCCGAAAGATTACCAAGAAGCACTGAATTCTGATAATAGAGAACAATGGATTAAAGCCATGGAAGATGAGATGCAAAGGATTACTAAGTTAAAAGTTTGGAAATTAATAGATAAGCCTAAAGATAAAAATTTTTATCAAAAGTAAATGGATTTTTTCAATTAAGAAAAATAGTGATGGATCAATTAAAAACTTCAAAGCGAGGCTAGTAGCTACAGGATATGATCAAAACAAGGTAGTGATTACCAATAAATTTATTCTCCAACTATAAGACCTGAGACCATAAGAATTCTAATAAAAATAGCAGCAATTAAAAATGTTATTCCTCAACAAAAGGACGCTCAAACAGCTTTTTTATATGGTGATTTAGAAGAAGAAATATTCATGCTTCAACCTCCAGGTTTTGAAAAAGGAAACAATAAGATTTGTTATCTGATGAAGAGTATTTATGGCCTAAAACAAGCAAGTAGAATGTGGAATAAGAAACTAGATGAATTATTAACCAATGCTGGAATGAAACAATCTGCGAATGATCCATGTTTATATTATAGCAATTTTGAAAGTCATTTCTTATATCTGGGAATTCATGTGGATGATATACTTAGTGTAGGATCTGGTGATGATTATGAGGAAAATATATGGAAAAGAATGAAAAGAGAGATTGATATCACGGATTTAGGAGCTGCAAAAAACTTTCTTGGAATGGAATTTGAATATAGGGATGATAGCATTTTTATAAATCAAAATAAATATATAGAAGAAATATTGGAAGCCTATAATTTGCATGATTGTAATCCTTCGAAAACTCTGTTATGCATTTCTACAAATTATGATTTATTTGAAAATAGTAAATCGATTGATCAAAAATACTATCAAAAATTGTTGGAAAGTTGATTTACATAGCAACTAGAACAAGACCGGACATATGTTATGCTATAAGCAATATGAGTAGATTTAATAAAGATCCAAGGGAGGTTCATATGAATGGATTGAAGAAAATATTAAGATATTTAAAGGGAACTATGAACTATGAATTGATTTACTCTAGGGGAGATTCAAGTATTGTGACTTATACTGATGCGAGTTGGGACAGAACAACTGATGCAAGATCGTATTCTGGTTTTATTATAGAAATGGGAAACAATTTACTCAATTGGAAGAGTAATAAACAAAGATTTGTTGCCTTGTCAACTGCAGAGAGTGAATTAGAAGCCTTATCTGAAGGAATTAAAGAATTAATTTAGACCCGTAACATCATTAGAGAAATGAAGATTAATTTGAAAGATCAGATTACTGTTTATTGTGACAGCCAGAATGCCATTTCAATGATTAAGTGAAAAAATATGAAAGCAAGTACGAAGTACTTGAATAGAAAGTGCCACTTCATTAGACAAATTGTGGAAGATGAAGAAATTGAAGTTTTGCATACCCCCTCAGAAGAAATGAAAGCGGACCATCTCACCAAGACTGTGGATGCTCTCAAGCTTAAGAACTGCATAAGTGGTGGAGATATTTTCGAAAAATGAAAATTGAAAATTTGAAGGGGAGATTTGTTGATGTTATTTATTTAAAATATCAATTTTCATTCTATGATTGAATTAATCTGTGACTTAATTTATTCTGTGGTGTTGAGTGTATATATCTATATATATATATATCTATATCTATATATATAAAATTGAATGTCTGTCTGTGTGTACTCTATAGATTTAAAAACCATACATCCAATCGCCGTGAAATTTTGGGATATTATTAGGTATATCCCCGGGAAGGTTTTTGAAAAATAATTTCTTGTCTATATATATAAAATTGAATGTCTGTCTGTGTGTACTCTATAGATTCAAAAACCATACATCCAATCGCCGTGAAATTTTGGGATATTATTAGGTATATCCCCGGGAAGGTTTTTGAAAATAATTTCTTGAATATCTTGAATATCCTTAGAGTTATTTGCAGATTTGTAGATTTAACTCGCAAGCAGCGCTCCCATTGCGACGATGATAACAAGTTTTTTTATCTATAAGTTTTTTATCACTAAGTTTATTATCTTAAAGATTATTTATCAAAAGTAAGATTTTCTACCTATTAATTGCGCACAAGTCAAAGTTAGTTATCGAGTATTTTTCAAGGGACCGGGAAAAAATGTTCACTAGATAAAACGATGATTTTGTAATGTAGAAAATTAGGAAAAACGAAATTCAGGATGACACGGCAATTTATTTGAAACAAGATGAGATAAGGGACCGGGAAAAAATGTTCACTTTATCGAGAGATTCAAATTTACGAGTTTCAAATTATCAAAATATATCTTTTTTTTATAAGCTTATAGAGAATTCTTTTAACAAATGTTCGTTAGACAAAACTTTACTCGGGTAAAACCCGGGCGAAGCCGGGTACGTCCGCTAGTATCTATATATATATAAATGAATGTATGTGTGTGTGTGTGTGAAGTATGAAAGGATGAATTGTGAAGAGTAATGTGTGTGAAGTATGAAAGGATGAATTGTGAAGAGTAATGATAAACGCAAAAATAAAGTTTCCAGGGATGGGAATCGAACCCACAGTGTTCCGCTTACTGGGCAGATGCCATGTCCACTAGGCTACCCTGGACATGTGTGTGTATGTGTGTGTGTCCTTTATGCCTGACCAAACCACTCATTGGAACGCCATGAAACTTTGGGAAGTTATTTAGTATAGTACTGGGAAGGTTTCTAGCAAATAAAAATTTTGAAATAACTTTTCGCCTAAAAATAATCAAGATAAATATTCTAATTTATCTGTTACAATTCAACAATCTGCTCTAAATATTATCATGATGATACGATGATTTTGTAATGTAGAAAATTAGGAAAGACAAAATTCAGGATGACACGGAATTTATTTGAGACAAGAATAATGATACAATTCCAAGGCAAGATACTATTCCTTTAACTTCCAATTACCGAGGCACCCAATTAATTTTGATTTTATTCAACTTATCGAGTATTTTTCAAGGGACCGGGAAAAATGTTCACTTTATCGAGAGATTCGTTAGACAAACCTTTACTCGGGTAAAACCCGGGCGAAGCCGGGTACATCCATACAAGAATAATGATACAATTCCAAGGCAAGATACTATTCCTTTAACTTCCAATTACCGAGGGAACCAATTAATATTGATTTTATTCAACTTATCGAATATTTTTCAAGGGACCGGGAAAAAATGTTCTCTTTATCTAGAGATTCGTTAGACAAACCTTTACTCGGGTAAAACCCGGGCGAAGCCGGGTACATCCGCTAGTATACATATATTTCTTTGAGAAAGAGGTGAGAGAGTATATGTGGAGAGGTTTAGGCATATGAGTTTTTAGATTTATTATAGGAATTTATATTCATTGTTTTTGAACCTTCAATAAAGAAGATTTATGTTTTAATAGATAGTAATTATTACAATCCACCCAACACTTTTTGATCCTACCGTTTATAATGTTTATTCTGGATCCATTATTTTCTTTTACCTTCATATTATAAGAATCAATACACTGGGAAAATAAAAAAAATAGCTACAATCCATTGAATATATGGTAAATAGGCAATGTGACACACAACACTATTAATAAAGAGGATAATATGCGCATTGAGGTCACTGTTATTTCTGGACTCACCAGTTCTACCTATTATCCCTTCAAAATTTGAGAATTAATTAAATTTTTGTTTGAATAATTATAAAATTCAATTATTTGATAAAAATATATAAAAGTTTCAATATTAAAAACATTTCACCCCATTTACTTCAATGATGAATTTTTTATATCCTTAGTACACCTAATACAGTCCAGGATAATCATGATACATTTCTTTAAAAATATGGTTTATATACATGTAACGCAACCATTATTACAATACAATGTTCATATTATCCTCTTTATTAAGACTTGTGCTAATTTGAATATACCATATATATTTGATGGATTGTTCCTATTTATTGAATTTACAATTAATTGCATCATTTAATGAAAATAAATCTAAGGTAGAAGAATATGGTGTTACGAGATACAGATGGACAGCTGAGGGAATTAAGACATTTAAACAGGAATTAAAGGAATTGCAAGTAGTAAAAATTTCAAATCTCGATAGCTCCGTAAATACTTTCACTCAAAGAATTACTGAGGCAATGTCAACATAAGGAATAATGTACTTAACTAAGGGTGCCCCCGGAGAATATAAACCATGGTTTGACAAAAACTGTTACGAGATGAAAAAGCTAACAAAAGAAAGTCTGAAGGAATACCGTAGAACCAACAGAAATGAAGACCTTGAAAGCTATGCTCTCCATAGAAAGAAATATCTCGGTTTATTAGATAATAAAAGGAAGAAATATATTAAGGAAAAACAAGAAATATTGAGATATATAAAAGATTCAGTGTCCTTTTGGAAGACCATTGCGCTATTTAAAAGAGCAACAAAAATTCAAGGAGAAATTACTGTACAGGAATGGCACGATTTTTATTGCGAATTAATGAGTATTGAGGAAAAAGAGAAGACCTGTAATATAGAAGTGAGGATTTCGCCGAGTGATCCAATACTTGACCCAGAGATAACTTCTGAAGAGATAGGCAGGGCAATCAGAGATTTGAAAAATAACAAGGCAAGTGGACCTGATGACATCCCCAATGAAATAATAAAAGTACTCCCAGACTCATACATGGATTTATTAGAACAATTTTACAATAGAGCTCTGATAATGGGACACTATCCTACAATTTGGACTAAATCGATCATACAATCAAATCTTTAAAAGCGTTGACAAAGACAACCCTTCAAATTATCGTGGTATAGCACTGATAAGCAATTTATCGAAACTTTTTACGACAATACTAATATCAAGACTGAATGAATGGGTAGAAAGAAGAAACGCCATTCCAGAAAACCCAGGCGGGTTTCCGAAGGGGTCGATCGTGTGTGGATCTGATATTCACATTGACCACTCTAATACAACTATCACTGAGGAAAAAGTGATTCATGATTCTTCATGATAATGCAAGGCCGCATACATCTTGTAAAACTGTATCTACAATCATTAAATTAGGTTTTGAAGTTTTTAGAACATCCTGCATATAGTCCAGACCTAGCCCCCTCTGACTATTTCTTTTTTGGACTACTAAAGAAGGAGTTAAAGGGAAAGCGATTTGACTCGGATGAAGATGTCCAGAAAGTGGTGCAAGATTTTTTTCACACGCTTCCTAAGAGTGCCTATAAAGAGGGTATTTACAAGTTGCCAGAACGATGGAGACGATGTATAGAAAGCCAAGGTGATTATTTTGAATAAATCAAGTCCTAATTTTTAATATCGTCCTTATTTTTTTTTAAAATTATAATTCACCTTATTTATTGATCTCCCACCTAGTATCTAATATTATATTATCTGCTGCATGTTTATATAATTGTTTTTTTTTTATTTTTTCCGTTTTTATTGTTTTGTTTGAAATTATAAAGAAATATTGCCTTTGTCGAAGGTTCCTTATCTTTTTGTCTTTTCATTATAGTCGCAGGTTTTTTAGAAAGTTTGGTTTTGTAATTTACGTTCATATAATTTTTTTAAATAGTCATTAATATTTTCAATTTGGAGGTCATCTTTAATTTTTGAATTTCTCACATATAAGGGGCTTTTATTATTCTACTTTGTGTCTTGCTTTCAAAGTTTTCGAATTTTAAAAAATATTTTTTTATTGGCTGAAAAAAAAATTAAATATCCATATATAAGAATGACCTAATTATTGAAGTATAGAATGTTCTTTTGCAGGTTAGTGAGAGTTTACTTTTATTGCTTAACAACAGTGATAGTCTATATTTTGCTGCATTTGTGACGTTAATCCTGTTCTCAATGTGTTTTTGGAAGGACAGGTGAGGAACCTCAAGGGCAAAAAAACAAACAAAAAGAAACTGGTCTTTATGGCCTCGTGAAACGGGTATTTAAGGCCAGAAGTGCGTGTGAACCCCAAACAATGTGAAAAATAGTACACAAGTGAAATTGTACTGGGATCAGATAGATAAATTAAGGCATCTCCTGATCGTGCAACTAAAATATAATATCTAGAAAACCGAAGATGCTAGATGGTCTCTGGAATGTCGTTATGACTGTTGGGATAATAATAAAAATATTCTAAGACGAAGCCTTATTTCCTGGAAATATCTATGCAGTGCTGTTGTTAAACGTCACTGTTTACACAGGAAAACAATAAGTTGCACAAACATTTGTAAATTATCTTTTAAAAATCACTAAAATCGTTCTTTAAAAAATGAAACACCATCTGTAGATTTCACTTTTCTCCATGCAAAATCTATATCTTGGGCATAGAATTGGTCTAGATACTTTTCCAGCTAAACACCTCTTTGGTAGATTTCGGAGATTTAAAAATTCCTTGTTCACCGCATCAATCAACACAGGCCAGAAACGTCAGAAATAACGACTAAGAGAAACTCTAAGGTGAATCATTAATAACATTAAAATATTTTAGGACAATGTACCAAGACAATAGCTATGGTTCTAGACATATGAGACGAGGCAGTCCTTTGAAAATAAATATAGAAAGCTTGCTAGGTAAGGGGAAATAGGAGTTAAACGATGTTTTAATATATTGCTTTTCTCTTTTTTACAGTATGGAAGAAATTGGGTAAGTTCATTCACACTTAAGATGAGATAAGCAAAGATCCAGGATCGCATTTAGATGTTACCAGTAAGTCATGGGCGGTTCTTATAGCAGCAAACTTTGTAATACCTCCACCAGTGTAAATTCCTCAAATATGCGTATGTAACTTTATGAACACATATACCACCTTTATAGAAATAAATATTTATTTTCCTTTTTTTCAGACATGAAAGTAGCAAGAATAAGGTTGAAAAGGTAATATTTAAGAAATATACATTTCTGTACAAACATGTTTTATATTAATATTTCTGCATCATACTGTCATATGGCTTATGAATATTTGTATGACCTAATTCAATATTTTTTTGTAGGTGATCTCTGGTTTGTTGTATGCAGGTTCAGGCTTGTAGTACGCAGGTTCAGGTTTCTTATATGCGGGTTCAGGCTTGTAGTACGCAGGTTCAGGTTTCTTATATGCGGGTTCAGGCTTGTAGTACGCTGGTTCGGGCTTGTAGTAAGCGGGTTCGGGCTTGTAGTAAGCGGGCTTGTGGTAGACAGCTACAGGTTTGGCGTACATCTTGACGTCAGCAGGATCCTGTGGGGCAGTGCCAGGCTCGTTGGTTGACACGTACGCCCGGTATCCGTGTCCATCAGCGACGTAAGACACATGGCGGTAGATACCATGGGCGTCGGTGTAGCCGTAGCTCCCCGTCTTGGCTCCGTAGCTATCGGACTCCTCCTTGTGGTGGTGGCGGTTGTAGTAGCCGTCGTCCACCTCGTAGCCGAACTTGTAGGGCCGGGGAGGGTAGGAGCTGTAGCTGGCCAGGGCTTGGGCGGCCAGGAGCAGACAGAGGGCGGCGGTGGAGAGGGGAGGCATGGCTGCTGATGTGATGCCCCATCCCCGGCCACCGAGGGTTATAAAGCCACCAATCTCTGGGTGGGGCTCCCCGCCCTCTGTGAAATTTAGCGGCGTGGGGGACA